GGTAGCGGCGGCGGTGGCAGCGGAAGCAGGGGGTTGCGCGCATTGGGGGCATTGGGGGGGTCGTGCGCGGCGGGGGGTGCGCGTGCGGCGGGCGGGGGGTGCCCGCACACGTGTGCCACCATTCCCCCGCCCCGGCCCAGGTCTCAAAAAGGTTGCCTGTCCCTGGACTAGACATTCATATCAAGGGACTACCTTTATCTTTATAGGGGTTCTGCTGATGAGATTCCTGAAGCAGGAAAAAAAGGTGGATAAACAGGAGGAGGCAGAAGTAATGTTTTAAAAGGGGCATGAAAATGAGAAAAGTATCTCTGAGGTACTGCTCGTAAAATTACTAAGGTAAAGGGCAGAAGAGTGGGAAAATATGGATTCCATGGACCCATTTCAGATAAGCCTGTTCCCTCTTCAATATGATATCCTTTCAAATATTTAAACATAACTATAATGTCCCCTCTTAACCTTATTTTCATCAGGCTAAACATTCCCAGCTCTCTAAGCCACTCCACATAGAGCATGCTTTGCAGACCTCTCACCATTTTGTTTACCTTCCTCTGGACACGCTCTAGCTTGTCAACATCCTTCCTGAATTGAGCTACCCAGAACTGGACACATTATTCCAGGTGAGGCCTGACCAAAGCAGAACACAGTGGAACTGTCACTTTCTTTGATCTAGAGACACTATACTCCTGTTGATGCAACCAAGAATCACATTGGCTTTCTTTGCTGCCACATCACACTGCTCACTCATGTTCAGTTTGTGATCTACTAAGACTCCTAGATCCCATTCACATGAACTATTGTCTAGGCATGTGTCTCCCATCCTATATTTGTGCATTTCATTTTTTAGTTTTTTGCCCTAAGTGCAGTACCTTATATTTCTCTGTGTTGAAATTCATCTTGCTATCTTTAGCCCAGGACTCTAATCTGTCAAGGTCATTCTGAATTTTAATCCTGTCCTCTGGGGAATTAGCAGCCTTTCCCAGTTTGGTATCATCTGCAAATTTAATCTGCATGCTCTCTATTCCTTCATCTAAGTCATTGATAAAGATATTGAATAGCACAGGGCCCGGTACAGATCCCTGCGGCACTCCACTTGTCACCTTTCTCCAGGATGAAGAGAAGCCATTGGCCAATTATAAATCTACCTAATATTAGCACTGTCTAGGCCACATTTTACTAGCTTCTTTGAAAGAATATCATGGAGAACTGTGTCAAAAGCCTTACGGAAATCAAGATATGCTACATCCACATATATAAGAGGAACATGGAATGTGAAAAGTAAGAGTGGAGAGGTTACATGACCACATGAAGACATACAGATTCATTCAAGGAAGAACCCTTTGTCTATGAACCCGTTTCAAAAAGAGAAGCAGACATCACTCTCAATGCACTTGGGAGAAATAAATAACCAGGAACAGATCGCATACCAATAGAGCTGTTTCAAGCTACAGAGAAATTCAAGCATTTACAATTCTAACTAAAATTTGACAACAAATATGAAAAACAAAACAATAGTCCAAAGACTGGAAATGCTCATTATACATTCCTTTTCCCAAGGAAGGGGACATCAGGGATTGCAGTAACCATCAGACCACAGCATTAATCTCCCATGGAAGCAAAGTGATGCTAACATTTTTACAACAAAGACTTTTACCATATATGGAGCTAGAAATGTCAGATGTCCAAGCTGGGTTTAGAAAAAGAAGATGCACTAGGGATCACATTGCAACATACATTGGATACTGGAGCACACCAAATAATTTCAGAAGAACATCACTCTGTGCTTCATTGACTATAGCAAAGCATTTGACTCTGTAGATAATGAAAAATTATGGATCACTCTACAAGAAATGAGCATGCTATAACATTTGATTGTCCTGATGAGTAACCTATACTCAAGACAAGAGGCTGCTGTCAGAACATAATATGAAGAAAGAAAATGGTTTCCAATTGCCAAGGGGGTCGGACAAGATTGCATTTTATCATCCTATAAGTTTCATTTATAGGTAGAACATCTAAGAAAAACTGGATTAGACTTGGAAGAAAGTGACATAAAAATTGGAGGAAGAAATGTTGACAATAAGAGATGCAGATGGCACCATACTACCAGCAGAATTACTTGGAATGATTATTGAAAAAAGTAAAGGAAACAAATGACAACACAGGGTTACAGCTGAGCATTAGGGCAACAAAAATAATGACCAAAGTGGATGATGAAGATATTGCAATTGTCAAAAACTTTTTCTACCTTGGTTCAGTCATCAGTCCAAATGGAGACTGTAGTCAAGAAATCCGATGAAGACTAGGACTTAGAAAAGGAAATATTTTCATATATCTTCATATTTGCCCTTCCATGTCCTAGTCTTTGTCAGACTGAAGAAAGTCAAGGAAGAAAATGCCAAGGTGCCTGTGTTACACTTATAAGAACTAGATAAGAGCCTTAAGTGTAAATATATATCACTAAATATGAAAGTCAGGGCATCCATTCTATAGTATTTCTGACTTCTATGTATGGTTGTGAAAGATGGACATTAGGAAAGCTGACATGAAAATGAACTCATTTTAAATGTGGTGCTGGAGGGACCGGCTGATACCATGGACTGCAAAAATTCAGTTGTAGAACGAATCAAATCTGAAATCTCCCTATAAACCAAAATGACCAAACTGAGGCTACCATGGGATGGCTGTTTTAAATACTTGCCAGACGGTTGTAAAGAGATTGGAGCCAATCAAATTTGTTAACCCACAAATCTCTCAGATAGTGGTGGAGTCTCCTTTAAACAGAGGCTGGGATGGTCATCCAACCTCCATGTGGAGGTCATAATGTTCTAACTAGCCTTTCACCCACTGTGTCAATGAAACTGCACTTTATTTTAACTGTTTCTGTTCTCTTTTTATTTCCTCTGTTTATTCCCACTCAACCCATCCTGCTCAACCCATCCTGTTGGGGGTGTTTTGATTGTGAGTTCCTGCATGGCAGGGGGTTGGACTGGATGCCCTTGTGGTCTCTTTCAATTCTATGATTCTATGACTCTATGATTCTATACTTTAGACATATCATGAAAAACATGACTCATTAGAAAAGACAATATTGATTAGTAAAGTGGGAGGCAGTGGGGGGGGGGGAAGGAAGACTGCATTACCTAGACTCAATCAAGGAAGTTGCAGATCTGAGTTTGCAGTAGTTGAACAGAATGTTAATGATGAGATGTCTTACAGAGTTCTCATTCATAGGGTCTCCATAAACAGAAACTGACCTGACAGCAATTAACAACAATAAAAACATGGAAAGATAGACAGAGGGACATGACTTCCTTTTTTTTTTTTAATCTGACTACTGCAAATTACACACCATTTTGCATTCTTGGGGGTGCGGGGATGTCTTACACTAGGTTAGACCATTACTAAGGAGTATAACTTCCAGAATCTCCCCACCAGGATGGCCATGGCTGGGAGCTGTACCCAAAAAACTCACTTTCCCAACCTTTGCATCTAGTGCAGTACTCTCAACTATTGACTGACAGAAGCTTGCCAGTCCTTGGACAGAAGGGGCTTTGTTATTTCCTGCTCCTTGATCCTTTTACTAATAGTGCCAGAGAATGAACCAGGCACTTCTGCATGCAAAACATACCATTAAAGAAGTTACCGTACCTCCGTTTTTACACTCACCAGCTAAATGAGCACACTTCATCATTCCAGTGCTCTTCCTTCATTCCTTCCCCAAATTCTGTTGCAAAAGAATCCAGACCAACTTTGCTTTAGAATGCATGCTAAAGCATGTAGGTGGGAATTTATATAAATTCACTTCTTTCCCTCTGCCCATGATGATGACACGCTGCTCCGCACCTTTGAAATGATTAAATAACAGTCCCCTGCCAGGTTGGTGCACTGGAGGGATTTGCTGGAGTAGGTATAAAATGGGGGCTGAGCAGGATAGGTTGAATGGGAATAAACAGAGGAAATAAAAAGAGAATAGAAACAGTTTAAATAAAGTGCAGTTTCATTGACACAGTGGGTGAAAGGCTAGTTAGAACATTATGACCTCCACATGGAGGGTGGATTAAATTACTCAGTGTGAAGAAAGTTATTTGCATCTGGTGGATTTTTTAGTTCCCCTCCAGTCTCTCTCTCTTTCAGGGGCTGTTTGTGATGGTGTGTGTAGGGATTGTCCTACCCCATTCCCGCACTGAGCCATTACATGTAACATTTTAAAGGGTAGGACTCCAGCATCTGTATGATCCCTGTCTGATAGATAATTAGGTTGTACCACTCCAAACATTTGCATATCACATAAGACAGACATATAATGTGCTGCCCTGAATTCATTTAACTCCGCTGTGCTGTGAAGGCACAGACACATGCACACCCAGCTCTTCATTTACTGTGCTTCCCACATAATATAAATTAAAATCTATTTCAGAGATTCCAGAATCTTATCATACGATAATTATACCATGACATCAAGAAATGTCCTCTTCCAACCCATTCAAACGTGTTGTCGCCCACTAGGCTTTCTCAGTCATCTCATCGGAATTACCCAGTTAATGCTATGCATAATGCTTAGAAATCAATTACTTTTCCAGTGACAAGTATGACCTGTGCGTGGGATGTATGATATGTCAGAACAGAGAATTTTTTTTATTGCTCACATATTGATAGAGCTGGAGGGAAAGGAGAATGGCATTTATGCTGCAAAGCTTACATCATTAAAAGAAAATGACTAAAAATAAAATAAAACTCAAGGGATCAAAGAACATAGCTTGTTCAGTTTAATACAAAGTACATTCAAGGAATTCTTTTTAATATTTTTTTTTTACCCTTAAAGCATTTAGTCATGGTTCCAAACACATGTTGTCAATCTCAGCACCACTGATTTCAACAGAATTTACAGCCTAGGAAACATGCTAAGGCAGCATAAGCTTGGGTTTTTAGTACAGGTTAACTTGGGTCAACTTGAAGGTAGTTAACAATAACAAACTTGGAGTGCAGTACTGATGAGAGCTAGCATGGTGTAGTGGTTTAAGTGTTGGACTTCAGCTCTAGAGACCAGGGTTCGAATCTCTGCTTGGCCATAGAAATGTACTGGGTGATCTTGGGTGAGTCACATTCTCTTAGGCTCAGAGGAAGGCAAAGGTAAACCCCTCTGAACAAATCTTGCCAAGAAAACCCCATGATAGGTTCACCTTAGGGTTGCCTTAAGTCAGAAACAATCTGAAGTCCCACAACAGCAACAATTATATTGCCCTCTACATGGGACAACAGTACTAACTGAAAGATGTGCTGGCTGTAGAGGGTAAGGAGGGTATAAATCTGCTAGCAGAAATGCCCCATATCAGAACAACCCTCTTCAGCTAGCTGATCTCAGAAATTTTCTGGCATCAGATCACAGAATATTCCTAACAGAATAATCTGCAGAACTGCTTTGTGAACTAGGAAAAGGAATAGAGCAAGGGAGGAACTAATTATGAGCTACCCAGACGTACTCTGCCCAGGTATACAACCACAATTCTGGCACAAAGTTTTACACCGAGTAAGTTCTGAACAATTTCTAACATCCCTGGGCCAAGCAAGGCTTCAGTATACTGGTACTATGTCATCAAATCTGGGTGGTATAGTAACATTCAGATTTCCCTTTTAAATTGTATTTGCAGGACAGGGGGGAAGCAGCTGTTTCCTTCAAAATCAAAGTTGCCAAGGAAGGTGTGCCTTATATGATTCATGCTTCTGAAAACCTCTTGGAGTGTGAACCTACTTTAATACAAGGTGAACACTCCCCACATTGCTTCTGTTTCAAGACATCAGTGGTTTATTTTTCTACTATCACATTATTGAAATTCAACAGCAATCTGGCATCCATGTTTACCTAGCAGGGCACAAAACAGAGGGAAGTGGGTGTACAGTTGGAGTCCAGACCATTTTTAAAAAGTAAAACTTTTAACTAACAAGATTGCACTACCTGATTGGCTGGCATGTTCTAAAAACAAATAAGTTTAATTTCAAGTGCTTATTTTAAAAGAAACTCCAGGTGACAAACACCATCTTTGAAGAGGCCTTCTGTCACACTCCCAAAGAATTCCTCTTACACCTTTTACTAATGACACCCAGATCTATTTCTTCATGTCTCAGTCCTCAGCTTCAACTTCAGATGGCGTCTCTCCTCTAAGTGACTATCTTAAGGCAGTAATGGACTGGTTGAGGAAAAACAGATTGAGACTCAATCCAGACAAATAGGGGTACTAACAGTTGCAGGCCCAAGACCAGGTTTGGGAATACAACTTCCAATCCTGGATGGAGTCACACTCTCCTCCAAGGGCTGTGTTCGCAGTCTGGGGGTGCTCCTGGATCCGTTGCTCCAGATGTTAAATCAGGTAAATGCGATGGTCTGGAGCGCCTGTTATCAGCTTCAGCTGAAATGCGAGCTATGCCCTTTCCTGGAAACTAAGGATCTTGAAACTGTGGTACAC